CCCCCCGTCGTTGTAAATACCAGTGGGGTGAAAGTGCCTTGCTCTACTTCTGTTACACGGGAGTTGTATTTTCGCTTCTTTTCATTTTCATGAATCCTGTAAATCTGCTTGGGGCTAAGATCTCTGTATGAGTCTGCGTTGGGATGACACACCCTTATATCGAAAAAAGCAGCCCTCTGTCGCTCCCAGAAACCCTTACAGTGGACGTCGAGGCGTGCGTCTTGGGCTTGATTAGTCCCTCTGGGAAATTCTTCGTCTGTAATAGGTTGTAAGGCCGGTTCCAGCTGCACATCGTAACAAATTTTTGAATGTTGTTTTAAGTGAGTGATAGACTTGTTTATCACAATTAATACCGCAGCGGAAATTCCACACCATGCCCGGCAAGTATAAGCGAACATTTGCCATATTAGTAAGCATTCCCTTCGCGATCAGCGAGCGATCTACGTTATTCGGTAAATGTTTTTTTCTCTTTCCTCTATTTACCCTTCCCGTACGGGGGAGCATCGCATATGGTCTTAGGCAATAAAGACCCAGTTACCCCCAGCTGAGTTGGTGTGTATTTAAGAAGTTCTATTCACATCAAAACACTCTTTTGCTAAGCACACAGTCAAAGAATAGTAACACCGATGATGAATATAAAGCCAAACCAAAACTCTAGGACATTTTCTCTCCCTGCTTTTCCACTTTACCCGGAACTTTGTATTAGAGCCGGTTTTTTTTTCTTTCTACGCCCGTCCAATAATATAGCATCTGGGCACCCCCGCTTACTGGGCTGAACATGGCTAAACAATATTCTTAATATGCCAAAGCTTTCCACGAACAGAACAAGTAATACGTACGTTTATATATGCGATGTCGAAACAGTCCAGGCTGTAGTTTTATCCCACTTATATTCATGCTTTTTATTTTAACATATTTATATGAATAGAATTTTTTAACATTATCTTAAAAATCAGTTTTCCATTTATTATCTAGGATTCATTTGTAATTTTCAAGTATTGTAGTTTTTGTAAATAATTGCGTAATTCAGCCTGTGGCTGCGATGCAATTTTTAATAAACTATCTACCTATCTATCTATCTATCTATCTATCTATCTATCTATCTATCTATCTATCTATCTATCTATCTATCTATCTATCTATCTATCTATCTACCTATCTATCTATCTATCTATCTATCTATCTATCTATCTACCTATCTATCTATCTATCTAACTATCTACCTATCTATCTATCTATCTATCTATCTACCTATCTATCTATCTATCTATCTATCTATCTATCTATCTACCTATCTATCTATCTATCTATCTATCTATCTA